TTTTTAGTAGAGACAGGATTTCACCATGTTGTCCAGGCTAGTCTCGAACTCCTGACCTCAGTGACTCTGCCCACTTGACCATCCTGACTCTGCCTGCCTTGGCCACCCAAAGTGCTGGGATTACAAGTGTGAGCCACCGTGCCCACCCTAAAAATTTTTTTTTAAATTAGCCAGGCATGGTGGCACATGCCTGTGATACCAGCTACTAGGGAGGCTGAAGTGGGAAAGATCACTTGAGCCCAGAGGATGGAGGCTGCAGTAAGCTATATGATTGCACCACTGCACTCCAGCCTGGGCAACAGAGCAAGACCCTGTCTTTAAAAAAGAAAGCTTTAATCTGTATAAACAAAAGCCCCAGCCCAGTAACCAGGAGAGGGTTGCTATTCAGTCATTCCAGAGATGGTGCTTAATGGAGCGTGGGAGTCAGATCCCAGTTCAGATACCTGCTTTGCTGACCCTGGGCAACTGGACGTCACCCTCTGAACCTCGGTTTGCTCATCTGTAAAACGGGAATATTCCCGCCGGGCCTTCACGCCCAGCAGGTTTTTGCAGTCTGAAATGAGACACTGTCTCTACAGTGCCTCAGGGCAATAAGAGAAACACGAAGGCTTCTAGTAAATGCCCTCAACCTCTGCTTCTTTATTACATAGTTAACAACCAGGCGGGACTACCCCCTCCACCACAGTGCTCAGTTGGATCCCCAAATCGGTGTAAATTCCAAAGGGGTTTCGGTTGAGCCAAGGAGGGAGCTTGCCCATTCCAACCCAGGGGCGTGGGAGTGCAGTTTCTCGGACCCTTTCCAACCCCACCCCACTCCTCCCATGGACACCGGCGGCGCGCCCTCACCTTTGCCCAGGACGCGGCCTCTCTCCAGGTGCCGCCGAGGCACCGTGAATGTGTAGCTCTCGGAGTCAAAGCCGGGGTGGCAGGGCTCCGGCTCCTGGCAGAACCTAGACGAGACCTGGGGTGGGGGAAAGGTAGATGGAACTGGGTGACTCGGAGTGTCCCCTCCTGCTTACACCGAAACCGACAGCGCCGCCCCTCCCTCTCTCCCGGCGTCGGGATTCGGGGAGGACCCCCGCCGGGCAACGACGTCACCCTCCCCTACCCCGAAACCCGCGGCGGCCAAGCCCTCAGGAACTCTCAGGGTGGGGCGTGGGGGGGGGGGGGCGCCGGGTCACCCCCTCTAGACCTAGCCCACCTTTCCTTCCGGTCTCTTTTCTCGTTTTACTGGAGATGTCTTCACTCTCCCCAGCCCCTCTTTCCTTAGACCGGGAACGCGCTAGTCCTCAGAGCAAGGGGCTCTCCCACCTCCTCCGACCCCACTTTCTTACCCCCGGGACCCCTATTTACAACGTTTCTTCGCATGGCAGGTGCCTTTTTTTTCTAACGATGTCCCTCTCCCTCGGGGATCGTCCCTACCTCTCCTGCCTCCCCCTCGACTTGCACCGGAGCTCCCCTTCTCCACATTGCGCCTTTCACCCCGCTCCACGCCCCCACCGCCCGCCCGAGCCCACCCCGCGGAGCCCGCGGCCAGGCGGCAAAGCAGCGCTCGCCCCTCACCACCTTCCCACTCCCATCACTGCGGGGTCCGGAGCGCGCGAGGCTTCAGGCCGCTAAGCTCCTCGGGACCCGAACTTTCTTGGAAGAAGGGAAGCAGTGACGACGGGAGCGGAAGGGGCGCGGGGCTGGGGCGCAGAGCGTGCGGCCAGACGCGTCCCTCGCAAGGCCGGGGACCCGAGGTACCTGCAGCAGCAGCAACAGCAGCAGCAGCAGCGCGGAGTGGCTGCGGCTCGAAGGGCCCATGGTCGGCCGGGGACGCTGAGCGAGGGCCGGGGCCGGGGCCGGGTGCGGTCGGGTCGGGCCGGTCTGGGCCGGGCTGGAGTCTGAACCGACTTTCGCGAGCTCACAGGTGCTTTGAGGCTCCGACGACACTGAGAGGGGCGGCGCGCCTGCCGCCAGGTGAGCCTCGGAGGCACCGCCTCCGGCTCCGCTGATTGGCTGAGGGCGCACCTGCCGGCCTCAGCCAATCAGCAGCGCGGAACCCTCCCCCGCGGGAATGACGGCTCGCCCGCGGCCCCGCCCCTCGGCCTCCAGCAGACCGGGTGACCCACCAGTCTGGAGTTGCTAGGGTCTAGATGGGTTATGGGATCTGAACACGGTTCTGATTCCACGGGGTTCGAATCCCAGCACCGCCGGTGCTCACTAAGACATGGGATCAGAAAGAACTTTTACACTTGACTGAATTCTTTTTGTTTGTTTTTTGTTTGTTTTGGAAATGGGGTCTCGCTTTTTCTCCCAGGCTGGAGTTCAGTGGGGCGATCACAACTCTCTGCAGCCTCGAACTCCTGGGCTCAACCGATCCTCTTGCCTCAGCCTCTCTAGTAGCTGGGACTGCAGGTGCACACCACCATGCCAGACTACTTTTTTTTTTCTTTTGTCTTTTTGTAGGGAGACGAATCTGGGCAGATAGGGGAAGTAGGGGCGCTGTATCTCCCTGTATTGCCTAGCCTGATCTTGAACTCCTGGACTGAAGCCATCCTTCTGCCTTGGCCTGACGAAGTGCTGGGATTACAGGTGTGAGCCATGAGCCACTGAGCGAGCAGCCTTTTTTTTTTTTTTTTTTTTTTTTTTGAGAAGGATTCTGATTCCATCTTGCCCAGGCTAGGGTGCAATGGCACAATCTCTGCTCACTGCAACCTCCCTCTGCCATGTTCAAGCGATTCTCTTGTCTCAGTCTCTTAAGTGGCTGGGACTACAGGTGTGTGCCACCACATCGGCTAACTTTGTATTTTTAGTACAGATGGGTCTTCATCATGTTAGCCAGGCTGGTCTGGAACTCCTAACCTCAGGTGATCCACCCTCCTCAGCCTCC